GTGGAAGGTGTCCTTGCTCACAGCAGGTGATTGGAACTGGGTCATCTTTAAGGTCCCTTCCAACTCAAACCATTCCATAATTCTGTAGGGGACCTTGAGTTTTCTCTTGTTCCCTGATTGTACAATTCTTTCTAAATTGTGGTACTTGTCCTGTTGTTCCTCTAATTCTTGTATTCCTTGATGAAGCTTGGGTCGTTCAGTGCTATGTAACTGAAATAATCCATAATATTACATAATTTGTTTTTCCTAGTTAGCTTAATCTTTCAGCACTATACTGAATGGATTTTTCCTAGACAGCTGTCCTTTCATGAGATGAAACTTCCAGGATTTTGCTCTTAGCAGTGCTTACTTGCTAACCCCTCCCTGGGGTTTTTGTTCCCTCTGTGATGTCTCTGCAGATTGCACCCGTGGAAAATGACAATAGCTATGATGAGCTCAAAAGAGATGCTAAGATGTGTTTGTCATTGATGTCTCAGGGTTTGCTGTATCCTCAGCAAGTGCCTTTGGTACTTCAGGTGCTAAAACAAGTGAGTGTGGTCTAAATAGCTTAAAAGCTTCTTGTTATCTGATGCACCCTCTGCCTTTTTATTGAAGGTTATATGATAGGTATGATTCTAAGAGAATCAAAAGCTGATTTAGATGTGAAAGCAAGGAGTTTATTAGAAGTATTTTAAAACATTCTTAGAAACTAAATGTATTTTGTTTTGTTTCCTACTTACAAACATTTAAACCGTTTTACTTGGTAAGAAATTGAAGAGCATTTTACTAAATTAACATTTGGTTCAGTAGTGGATCAGCTGAAGTCCCACATGTCTCCTCATGAGCGTAAGAATTCAAAATCTGGTTTCAGAATTAGTCTTCATATAAACAACTGCTCTTGAATATCTTGATTTTAGTTTTGTTGTATATTTATATTAAACTACAGTTTGCTTTGGAAGTGAAACCTGTAAAAATCATGATCTCAGTAATTGCATGCTTTGGAGATAAAGGGTGTATGAAACACAAATACCTCAATAAGGGAAGGTCTTTGCCCCCAGAAGCTTTTTCCTTAAATATTATTGGCTTTATAGCTGCTTTCTTTGACATTTTTGCTTTCTCATCCTGATTTATTCGTACCTGCAGACAGCAAGAAGCAATTCTTGGCATGCTCGGTATACCATATTAACCTACCTCCAGACCATGGTGTTCTACAATCTCTTCATCTTCCTCAACAACCAGGAAGCAGTCAATGACATTAGATGGCTGGTGATAAAACTCCTGGAAGATGAACAGCTTGAGGCAAGTGAAATACTTTGTTTCACACAATTGGTTTCTTGCCTTCATCGGGTTTTATGGAGAGACTACCAGATGTAAATGAATACAGGAGGCATTTCTACCTCGGTACTCTTCCTATTTTGATCCTATAACTCATGCTATAGGCTGTATTTCTTTCATAGTCCATTCCAGGAAAACAGCTGTTTAGAAAATACTCCATTAGTGGTTTTCAGTTTAATTCAACTTCCAACAAGGTAGAATGCCTTTCTGGGTGAAAACTGTATAAAGCCACTATTTATTACTCTCT